TAAAGACATAATAATATATAAAAGGTTATACATTAAAAATTAAATATCCGAATACGTAGCATAACGATAACATATACTAAATAATAAAAATACATAATACATACCATACTATATATACTGAAAAAAATAAATTCTTCGTAGCGAAGTATCATTAGCCCAGCGTTAGCGTATAAGTTTGATGTATTAGGGATCTCAAGTTCGAATCTCGATGTGTTTTCAAAAATTGTAAACCTGCGTTTTTAAACTGTTATTTAATAATAATGCGAAATAGTTAAACACAAATTAAGCTCTAAAAATAATATGTGATCGTAAAAAAAATTTTTTTGTTACAAATTTTTTTTTAATGTATCTATAGATATTTCGAAGAAATATCTATAGATACAAGATACTTAGAAATCCAATCGGTAAGATGAAACGAGAGTAATTCCTGCAATTGCGCATCATTTCACGCTGTAGCAAAATGCTTGGTCTATATATATATATATATCTATGATGAAAACCCACATTGAAACCGATTAAAAGTGACTTATTATTATTTCGTGTTCTACCTAAAACGTCGCGTGTGTATATAATTTCAATATGGCATCCAGTCCCCACTCTTGTCACGTGACCTATTTTAGTTCACTCTTCCGGGGGCACAGTCCCAGGCGGCGCTGAAAATGTCCCCTCCATTAACACAAGGAAGTTTGTACCCCCTGGTTTAAACTAACATGTAATGTTAATCTGGGAAAATTTTATTCAGATTCGATTCGATTCGATTTCGAGCATGTTATAAAAAATTTAATTCGATTCGATTCGACCATGCAAATGCTTGATTCGCACATCTCTATAAAATATGTTGCCTCCAGCATATATTCTCACTCAATATATCCTATCAGTTATTGCGATAAATATTATCACCCGTTTCTGTGATCTAATTAGTTAAGACGCTCGCTTCGGAAAGTTGGGAGTCCCAGATATAAATCCTGGCTAAGGTAATATTTTTCGCAATAAGTTCTTTGTAAGATTTTAAGATGCTTAGTCGCATCGAATTATTAAGAATCAATTTCAGCTAATGATTGTGTTGCAAGTTCAATTCGGCCCGCAGTTTAAGTAGTTGGATAATGGATTTAAAAATTTATATAAAATTTATTAGACATCAAGATTCAGCTGTTACCATAAAATAAATACAGTTATACAAGTAAATACAGAAATAAAGAAATTTTTAAGTCGGATTGGTGACACGACTCCGATAATTCCAAAAGAAATTTCTTTTTAATCTTCGAATTATGAAACATATTCTTCTTTCATCTCATTTCTGGTTTGAAAGCATTTTAGAGTTTCAAAAGGTTTTGCTTTTGCCATCAATTTTGAACTCTTCTTTCTAGATATAAAAGATAATCTTTTAATAGAAATTAAAAATTCGCAATAAAATCGAAATAATTTTTAGATATTATCTCAGTGTTATGATAGATTTCATGATTTCCTTGATTCGTAAACACGTAATAAAATAAACTCTTAAAGTAAGGAATGAACAAAACAAACAGTGATGATCATCAATTAGTAAACAAACAAGGAGTCGATGACATTTCCGTCATCAGTTATATTGGAACCCAGCAAGCAAAAAATCATTACGATAATGTTATATTATAATGATATTCAATAACATTGTAACGTTTTCAAATATGTTGTATTTAACGTTGTACAACATCATTATGAACAACCTTTGACCGCAATTTGGAGGTATCGGTAATGTTGAAATGGGAGTGCCATAGATCGGAAGAGCACACGTCT